TATTCACCCCCTCCAGAGACATTTCCAGTGCTGTCTTGTGTAGTTGAAATTTTAAATTTTAGCCCAATCATACAGTAACATATTTTTTACCACATTTTAATCAAATATACCACACATCGGTGTAAAATTGGCACAATTTCTCTCAGTTATCTTTGGTTTTAGTGACCGATTTACCAGTTTGAATCTGAAATTTCTGTCTCAAACTACTAGCTAATTGACAGCCGGTCTATGTAAATCATTCACTAGAAAAAACCAAATTGTCTAGATTTTATGAGTGATTATCAACAATCTATACTGTCTTATAATATTTACCCAATAATATTTGGCCTGATTATTCATGTCAGAGGTCAAAGATCAAGGTCACAGATAAAAAAAAATACGAAAGAGTATAATATTTGGCCTCAATATTCACATAAATCAACACTTGTTATTTACTAGTAACAAAATAGTTCACATCAGGTGTGAGAAAAATAGAATCTTATAACCTCGAAACCCTTACCCCGAGGGTTGAGATATGTCTTTCCCCCACAGGTTATTAAGTATTTTTCCCACCTAAATATTTTACAAGTTATGATTGCGTAGATTTCCAGAAAATTCAATGAATAATCGAAGACTTATGATCTGCACTGAATTAACAGACATCTTTGTTAAAATATGTTTTTGTTTTCAGGTGGAGAAAGAAGTGTCTGCCTTGGAGAAAGATGTAAAAAAGAATGAAGAAAAAATAAATGGGCTACAGACCTTTCTGCAGATAAACACTTCAAACTTTTTCAAAACATTAAAACCAAGACTACAAATGGCTTTCAAGAAATACAGAGGAAAAGATGGCAATCAATTATTGCAAAAAGACTTGAGATACATAAAGCTGGCAACACATGGACAAATTCCCGCGAACATAACATCAATCACCCCTGAAGAAATAGAAAGTTTGATAAAAGCAGGAGAGAAAATGGTATCAACAAAATTTGAACTTGATGATGTTGATCATGACCGTGCCACTTCTTCGTCGTTGCCAGTTTCTTTGCAGGAAAAAAGTTTCTCCCGGAAATGTAGCAGATGGATCAAGTGTGTTTGCATGTGGTATTTCGGCACAGCAGGGACCGGGTTTTTACAGCTTTACTCATCAGCCATCTCCTCAATGTACCCATATATGCCGGGAATATACCCATTCAACACCCTCATGACAGCACCTTATTACCCAGGGATGTGGTATGGAAGTCCAGCAGCTCAGACAGTTTCCAAAGCACCTAATGCTGAAAATGAAATCTTTCCTCCACTCCCCACTGAGGATTGCCCACCCCGGCCACCACTGCCCCCAACCCATGATGATGATTGATCGAGTAAAAAGTCGCCTCAGCAAATGATCCCTACAGAAAAGCAGCTGGGTATTTTACCTTCAATAAATAAGCCCCCATTTGTGGACCACATTTAGGTTACTATTTCAAAGTTCAAATTATACAACAAAAAAAAATGAGTGAGAGACTTATTTGCAGATAAATATAGTAAGAGCCCCTTCCAAATTTCAGATTTTTTTTAGGCCGAATACGGTACATCTAAGTCATTAGATATTGACAAAAACTAGACCGCCCTTACTACGTCAAATACGGTAATCGGGTTAACTTTATATATACTGTTGATTTGAAAGAATAAATCTAAGGCAAGCAACATCAGATCATTCAAAAGTAAAATATAAAGTGTTTCCACTATCTAGGTATCGAAATTATGTGCAATGGAATCCATGTGTAAAAAAATATTCAACAATTTATGTATTTCACATGATTTTGTATCATTTCATTGGTATTTATTAAGTTCTATACAGTGTAGCCCACTTATTATAATATCCCTCTTTTTCTGATGTACATAATTTTCTCCATATAAACTACATGTGAAATGTATGTAGCGGTTCCTTGCACTTGTGTAGGTACATTATATGATAATTGCTTGTGTGTTTCCATAAAATTTCAGATTGTTAATGTTAATATGGCAAAATAGTTTGTTTCTCAGGCACTCCGTCCTTTCACCAATAATTTTGTTTTTTATTGAAAATGGAAAGTACGTAAAAGGATGTTCATGTAATCATTTTACCTGCATATTTTTTATGAATATGCCAGACAAATAAGAACTTCTTGTGGCCTTTTTTTTTATTAATTTTAATTATACTGACCAGTATGTTATGCCATATGGTGTCTTGTTTGTTAAAGGTTAAATAAACCATTTATTTTAGATCAAACTTGTAGTTTTCTATATGATGCTGGCCAGTGGAATGTTCTGTGAAAATGACGCACCAGTGCCGTGGGTTATAAACGAAACCGTTGCAAACAGTTTTAATAAACACTCAGAACATGTAGATTCTTGTTCCAAAACATAGCATATTTCTTCCAACTTTTCCGATATATTCCGAGGTTAGAAAAATGTGTGCGTCATTCTCAACGGCCGCGTCAAAACACTGATGCATGAACATATGGTGTTTATGCACTAACAGCAGAACGGTCCAATGGATTTCCTTCATACTTGACAATCTTTTTCACCATGGTCTGGGGATGATACTTTGTAAAGGTCAAAGATCAAGTTAGTCTTGGTAATCGTTTGAATAATAAGAATCGATTGAAAATAATTTACTAATTATCAATTATGCGACAAAAAGTCGCGAAGGTAAGACTGGTGTTACTTTTCCGTTGACAGCGACGTCAACATTTGTATTTAAATCCGTTTCTCAAAATGTACAAGTCCAATTTTAACCAAACTTGGAATATACCATTACCATCAACACACCATACTTAACATGAAATATTGGTGTGTATTTCTATTTACAATTCTATTGCAGAATTTAATTTGCAACCTTTAGAGAGTGGACATGCTCAGTTGGTTGATCTTCCAATGATTACCAGGTAGTTGTTTACATGGTCGGAATTATCCTTGGAGGAAGATGGTTTTAAATTGTAAAATTTGGATTCCTACCCCAAGCCTAGGGGCCAGGGCGGGGCCCCTAAGGGAAAATTAACCAATATTTCAAAAATATTCTTCTCCAGACTCAGAGGTACTACAGTCAATTTCAGTGCATGGATAGAACGATCATCAAGAGCTTTTTTGTTTGTTTGTTTGTTTGTTTGATTTTGTTTAACGTCCTATTAACAGCTAAGGTCATTTAAGGACGGCCTCCCCTGTGTGCAAGATGCATGCGTGTAGTGTATGTGTGTGTATTCTGGGAGGCTGCGATATGTTCGTGTTTGTCTCCTTGTGATAGCGCGGAACTGATGCCGACTTTATAGTGCTACCTCACTGAAACATACTGCCGAAGACACCCAGCAGGACGCCCCACCCGGTCACATTATACTGACAACGGGCGAACCAGTCGTCCCACTCCTAATTTGCTGAGCGTTAAGCAGGAGTAGAAACTGCCATTTTTAAAGACTTTGGTATGTCTCGGCCAGGGGACAGAACCCAAAGCCTTCCTCACAGGGGCGAACGCTCAACAAATGGCCAAAAGTGAGGCATTGTCAAGGGAGACATTAGGAAAAATAAAGTTATTTAAAAAGGAGAGAAGAGATAAGGTCCCAAATTAAGTCGCCTCTTACGATCATGCAATTGGGGGCAGCAAGTACAATTCTTACGCCCTACCTGCAGGGCAGTATCGAAAATTTCAGGACCCCTGAGCCTTCCTTTCCCCCTTGGGGAGGGGATAAAGTTTACTTTAGTTTATATAGGGAAATAACACTTTTGGGTATATTTTATCCATTTTCAGCAGAAAATTATTCAAACTTGGTCAGAATCATCTTTGGTGGATGAGGGTATTACATTGTAAAATTGGAATTCCTGCCCCATCCCAGGGGCTAGGGCGGGGCCCAAAGGGAACATTTACCAATATTTTAAAATTCTTATCCTTTGATGACATGACAAGTATTGTATTTTACTTAGTTTACATGCTGATTTCCACATTACATCTAAACAATAAAATAAAGCTACCAGTACCTATGATATAACTCAGGTGACCGCTAAGGCCCTTGGGCCTCTTGTTGTATATATATTTTCTCTTTTCAATTGATAAAAAAATTAAATACCTCAAAACAGCTGAAAAAAACTTTTGGGTAGGGCCAATTTTCATGCGTCGGTCGGGATACATCAGTCAAACCTTTTTTGGCCAAAACATTCAGACAGAAAATAATTGGTGTCCACTTCACGGATTCAAATTTTTCTGTCAAAATACACAACTACCAAATTGCTACAAACTACAAAATACCAGGTTGATTTTACCAATATAAATTTCTGTTCAAGTCGCTTGATCCATTCCTGACCGTGATAAAACTTGCGATTTGCCTGACTGCCATGGACATACATCGGATGAGTTTGACATTATAATGGGTATGATCAGCCTAGGGGTCAAGGTCACCGTTAGTGCTGTTCCATAATTAATCATATGAGAAATGTGGGAGGCAGCTATTCTAGGGTTAGGGTTCCATCCTATGTGTACACGTATAGATGTACCTTGGCTGATATTAATAAGGTGCTGTGTGCTGGGGTCTCTTTGAAAAAATGCCTCTCACCCTTCCCTGATGATACTCTGAAACAGCCCTTGCTGAAAATAGAACAGTAGCAAGACGAGACACAAATGTACAAATGTGAACTTGTTTTCATGAAAACACTCTCCTGATGGGTTCCATTAATTCCTGTAGGTACCAAGACAACGTTTATTTCTGGATTCTACAACTCGTAGTTTTTCGATTTAGAATAATGCAATGACAAATAATTCAAAGTTGGATGAATATATTTAATTATAAATTTTACTGTTATCAAAGCCATACATTAAATATAAAACCGTCAGCTGCAATCATCTAACTAAGTTTTTCCGTAACAAATTTGCACATCAATATTTAATTGCAATAATTATGCAGAAAGTTGTTTTATTTAAATCATGTACCGACAGTAATGTTCGTTCATTTGCCAAAATATTTATAATGTAAATGCAATTACGTATTCTTTTGGCAAAAAATGTGACGAACAAACTACACATATCCACATTTGCCAAACAGTTTAGCGAGAACAGAATCAGGAATAGCATTTAATGATTTCACAACTGAGAGTTCTGTAAATTCATATGTGAAGTCTCTGTTAATTTGTAAACCATTACGCATCAAATTGAAGATGTATTCTGCAACGTTGTACTCTGGACTATATGGTGGTTGAAACAGAAGAGTGTTATTTCTGGTACCCAGCATATTCCTTAGCATTCGTTCTGCTTGGTTCTGGTGGTGGAACCCACAATTGTCCATTATGACACAATCACCATAAGCTAATATTGGATTCCCCAATGTGTTGGTTGCTTGCATGTAGTCATCAAAAAAGTTTACTATCTCCATTGCGTTGGAAGGGCCATTTATAATATCATACTGATCAATTCCGAAGAACCCACAAGCAAGATTAACAGTAAAAGTAGCGTTACTTGCATATTTTTGCACCTCAACTGCCCGCGTGCCCTTCACACTGTGTCCATATCTTCTATTGCCCGCAGTTCTCACAACAGAAGCTTCGTCAAAGAAGTGGAGTTGCTGGGGTGTAAAGGCCATAGCTCGAGCAATGAAATCATCTACGCGGTTTTCATGGGCGACAGTAGTTGTTTCTGATGGTATACGCTGGATAACTTTTTGTGTCAACCCCAATGTCCGTGTCACTGCATGTCGAATTCGATTTGCTGAAGGAAGAGTCTAAAGCGTACATATATTTGTGTCTAACAGATGACTCCTTATTTCGTGACTACATATAGAAGGTTGTTTTACTTTCTTGTATTCTATAAACTGTAAGACTTCGTGATTGATTTTGCTCTCATTCCGCGGCGCCGCATAAGGTTTCTCTAAAGTCCCACGCGTCATGAAATTCGTCACGATCTTGTGACACCCTCCGCTTGTCACACCTGTTTTCTGACTGATTTCTCGGTAAGTTAAGCCCTTGAGTTAACCTTAAGTTAAGTACATCGACAATTTCGCGACGAACGTTGTCGTTTGTAGTGGCACCGGTCTTAAAAAATCGTCCCTGTTGATTTTTCCTGGGGGCTGCCATTACCAGTTATCGAAGTCTCGCGGGTTACCGCGACTGTCGTTATTGGATCAGCGCCGCCTAACGGGCCACACGACACCACACTGTCTAAATTTAGATCACTGAACGACTTATCAACTGCTCCAGCCGTGACAATCACTGCGGTATATACATTCAATATAAATCTACAAACATTATGTTGAAAACAGATAAATTACTGATATTGTGCTTCTATCAAGTAAATATGGCCGAAATTTCATCAGTTTTGTTACATGGATTATGAAACAATGTGTATTTGAGTCTTAAAAAAAAGAAGTCAACTACCAAAATTAAAACTGATATTTTTCATACAAATGGGCTGGGCATAATAGGCACCACACACTGCTGTCAAAACAGATGGGAAACTTTTAAAGATTTACCAATTTCCCCCCGCCCCTCTGCTCACAGGGGAGCCATACCCTGTTTTTACAAAACTGAGAACTCTTTGGCCAATGATGCTCCAGACCAAATTTGGTCAAACTCTCTTCATTGGCACAAAAGGATACGGAACTTTAATGTTTTCCTCTACTTCCCCTAATGAGCCCCACCCATCTGCCCCAAAGAAGGGGGCCCACACACCTCAGTTTATACAATATTGATTATATTTACCCTAAGCATGCTTCAGCCTGCATTTGATTTAAATGCCTTCACTTGCATATTAAGAGAAAAACACACCTCTATTTCCCCTCGCCCCTCCACCCCAGAGGCCCCCCCCTTTTTTTTTTACAAACCTGAGGCTCCTTTGTCCAAAGATGTTATAGAACAAATTTGGTCAATAAGATTTTTTTTAAAGAATTACCTATTTTCCCCAATTTGGCCCCGTTTATACAAAACTGAGAACCCTTTGGCCAATGATGCTCCAGACCAAATTTGGTCAAACTCCCTTCATTGGCACAAAAGGATACGGAACTTTAATGTTTTCCTCTATTTCCCGTAATAATCCCCATCCATCTGCCGTAAAGAAGCTCAGTTTGTACAAAATTGATTCTAATTACCCTAAGCATGCTTTAGACTGCATTTGGTTTAAATCCCTTCACTTGTATAGTAGGAGAAAAAAAATCCTCCATTTCCCCTATTGGGCCCACACCCTCCGTTTATTCAAAGTTGTGGCTCCTTTGTCCAAAGATGGTCTAGAACAAATTTGGTCAATATTGGTTGAGAAGATGTTTTTCAAAGATTTAACCTATTTCCCCCTTATTTGGCCCTGCCCCTCTTACCCTAGTGAGATCATACCCTCCGTTTATACAAAACTGAGAACCCTTTGGCCAATGATGCTCCAGGCCAAATTTGCGAGCTAACCCGTATATAATGGAATCATAGTCAAGCTTTGGACGAACAAGTGAGCGATATAGACACAGCAGCACATCACGGTCAGCTCCCAAATCTGTATGGGATAGTAATTTTAGAATATTTAAAGCTTTTGAGTATTTATCTTTTAAATATTTGATACGAGTCAAAAAGGATAATTTAAGGCAAACACTGAGTATTTCGTTTGTTAAGCAACTGGAATAACAGTTTCGTCTAGAGTTTAACAGAGGTCATTGTGTAATTTTAAGAGTTGGCAGTACATGCTTCCTTTTTTTGAAATTTAGATAATTAAAAGCTATTTTCATTTGCCCATGTCGGAAGTTTGTTTAGACATTGAATGAACTACGGTGTATAATTATCCTTGGGATTTTGTGAACCTTCATACTTGCTGACCAAAATTTCAACGTGTTGATTCAATCGTTTTTGTATCGAAACCTTAAAGTCAGTTTTTTTGTTTTGGCACAAAAACCGACATATATCTTGTCGTCATCAGCTGACATGGTTTGTGTCCCTCACGTTTGAACTCTTACCCACTCCGATCTTTCTGAATACTACCGAGTATTTTTAGCAGAAGTCATTTAAGGACGCCTATTCATGTTTGCCTTTGTGTAACAACACTAATTTCATGCAGACTTTATAGTGCAACCTTGCTGAAATATAATTCTAATCCACCCAGTACAGTAACCCAATCGGTCACATGAATGGGTAATCTTATTGCTGCGATTACTCTAAATGCTTAGTAGCAAATCACAACTTCCAATTTTTTGGGACTATGATGATATGTCCATGACTGGGGACTAAACCTATATCAGTTAGATCAAAAGAAATAATATAAACATCCCTGATGTTCAATTCGATGCAACAGATTTATTTTTGTTGTTGAAGCAAATCCTATACCAATTCTGCGCAGAAATTCCCGTATAAGATGCGTCAGACAACACGCAATGGGTAACAATATTTATATTCATCTTTCAAACTCTGACCGGAAAGGGTGATGCACCTTATCTTTTTGAAATATAGCACAATACATTTTTGAAGAACAACCATTTTACCGACACCCAAGACAATGTGCGTGTAGATGTGCACCGGAACAAGAGACTTATCCTTTTTATTGATTTATATATCAGTTGTTAATTGTGACGTCCAATGAACACGACCTGCGTTTAATATATAACCAAACGTAGGTTTATGGTTCCCCAGGCTCGCCGGGATGTTGCAGCTAGATTGTCCAACGTAGATATTTCACTAGCTTTAGACGGATAGGTCTGGAAACACAAATAAAACAGAGACGAGCTGGCGGAACTTGCACCTATTTTTGGATTTCAAAAGAGATTAGCCTGCAATTCTTGTGCTAATCATCATACACAACACATAACTCCTTTCGAAGACTTGAACTTGTTACCTTCAACTTAGTAATTAAGAAACACGTACTTAAAAAACAAGAGGTTCATGGGCCTTAACGGTCACCCGAGTCCTACAGTATTATTTTTGTTGTTGATATGTGTACCAATTTGAGTAAAAAATAGTTAAGTATAACTTAGGATTGTAAGGACCATGAGCTGATAATTCCTAATTTTAGTTTTATCAACCTATTAGAACTTGTTTTAAAGTTTGATGTTATTTTCAAAATAGCGGCCATGGCAGCCATATTGGATATCGTATTGACCCGAAAAACAACAACACTTTGTCAGGATCATACGTCAATCATTACTACCAGGTTTCAGTTCAATCGGCCTAGCAGAACTTGACTAAGTTTGAAATTGTTTTTCAAAATGGCTGCCGTGGTGGCCATATTTTGATATCTGATTGACCCCAAAAAGAACCACACTTTGTTAGGACCATGGGTTGATCATTCCTACCAAGTTTCAGTTCAATTGGCCCAGCAGAACTTGACATAAAGTTTGAAATATTTTTTTCAAAATGGCAGCCGTGTCAATCTTCCAATGAAATATCAATGAAATCCCTTGGCCAGTATTTCAGCTTAAGTTGGAAATGTAAAATGTTAACGGATGACGCACGACGACGGATAGTGAGCTAAAGCTGGGAAGTGGCGGATGGAGATGACACCTAGAGGGTATTGATTGGTTTCCGATTGAATACATCTAAATTTAAAAAGGACTGCTCCTTCAGAAAGCGGATGTGGAATTAAAGAACGGTTACTCTGTTTTGATTTCCATTCGCGCCAATTTGACGAAGATGGATGGAATGATGGCCAATGCTCTAAGAGCATTGGACAATGAAATTGAAAATGAAGATGAGTTTAGGCCTAACGTTAGCGGTCTATATCAGAGAACGGGAGATCTGTTCAGACCAAAACGGGGTATGATCTATCAATATATTCGTTCTACATTATTCAGTTATTCTCGTCTTGGCAGCTCGGATCAGCACACCATTTAAGATAGACAATGCAACAAAACCAAGCGTTTAAATATACGTCTTTGTTGTCCATAGACTTTGGTGATGGTGTATAATTTCACGATATCACAAATTCGAAATCATGATATCATTAAATCAGGCTATTTTATATCTTGAACTCGAATTTGTTAATCATTAAATCGATTTTATGATATTATACATTTTTTACGATACAGTTGTTACGGCAGTAGCGGATCGGTCAATTAACAAAAGCTGATTACACAAAATCTATTGATCCTAGAAAGAAATTAATTGTTTGCACACGGTAAGAAGTTGTTACTTATAATCTACAAAAAAACCCCACTTCATATACGTATCATGTCCAGTAATCCCGAATTCGATATTTTCTCAACCTGCTCCTTTAGCGATGACCGCCATCTATGAAAACGGACGGTTAATACACACTTACAACCGAATAAATATGCATTTAAATGATTAATAATGGTGTTTTGTTTCAGAATCATGTATTGTTTGGTAATCTTGGATAATGCTTACATGCGTTAATGTGTCGTATCTGATGGTGTTTGTGTAAAAGTTTGGTGTTAAAATACTGTGGAGATATCAATTTATCAATTTCTGTGTCAAATTTTTATATTGTGCATTTATGTTTTGGTGGAGGGTGCTGTGTGAAAAGTCCTGTGTTGACCTCTACCCTGACCCGGAAGTTTATTTTTGACATTGGCGACACATGCAGACGATTATCTCAAGAAAAAAGACCAACATGCTATGTTGAAATTTTGATATTTTACTCCCAAGATGTTGCTCTTGACCA